GGAGAGGTCCGGTCCTATTCACTCACTAGGGAGCCCAAGCGGGTCTATGTCTCTCAGCCTCTGAGTCGGCACCGTTTTCCTGGAAACGTTGCCAGCAGCACCTGGGAGGGCGGCGCCGGGGTCCCAAACGGGAAGGTCCCGTTCCTGGAGGGTGCCTCGGCTGGGGCTGTATTGTCTCTGGGCATCCGGTAGGGTCGGCGAGGTGAGAGGGCATATGGCGCTGCCGCGCGGCTCTCCGTGCACAACCGAGGTGCCCCGGGAATTGGAACTGGTGCCCCGCTGCTACAGGCCTCACCTGTTGCAGGCGGCGGCAGTCTCTGGGCTGATCCAGGTCTCTCCACCGCTGGACCCACCAGCAAGTCCCGAATGCAGGGGAGGGGAAAACAGCAAATCCACCTACCCTTCGCGCTGGCCCTCCGGGCGCTCGGTGGTCTCAGCCCTCCAGTTCTCCTCCGCAGCCTCCTCCGTGGAGTCTCCCGGGTTAGGTACCCCTCTTCCGGCCCTGTCCGCGTTGCCGTCTTCCTTGCTTCTTTTCCTCTATTTCTGCTAGAATCGGTCTTTCCTGCAGAGACCTCTGCTGGCGGTGTTATCGTCGCCATCAGTTGCTCGGCCCCTCAAGTTGTCTTTTTTATTGAGGTCTTTTGTTCTTTTGGGTAGATGCCAGTAATGGATGCTGAATCAAATGGTAGATCTACTTGTATCACTTTAAGGTATCTCCATATTGCTTTCCACAGAGGTTGAACTAGTTTGCAGTCCCACCAGCACTGTATGAATGTTCCTATCTCTCCACATCCATACCTTTTTTGGGGGGGACTTTTTGATAAAAGCCATTCTCTGGAGTTAAGTGATATCTCATTGTAGTTTTGATTGCATCTCCCTGATGAATAGAGATGTTGAACATTTTTTCATATGTTTGTTGGACATTAGTCTGTATTCTTTTGAAAAGTTTCTGTTCATATCCTTTGCCCACTTTTTGATAGGGTTGTTTGATTTTTCCTTGATGATTTCCTAAGTTCTATATAGATTCTACTTATCAGCCCTTTATCTGATGTGTAGCATGCAAATATTTTCTTCCACTCTGTAGGTTGTCTGTTTGCTCTCGTGATAGTCTCCTTGGCTGTGCAAAAACTTTTTAATTTGATCAGGTCCCATATATTTATTTTTATTATTGCTGTAATTACCTTTGGGGTCTTCTTCATAAATTCTTACCCTAGGCCAATGTCTATAACAGTTTTTCCAACCTTTTCTTCTAGAATTCTTATAGTTTTATGCCTTATGTTTAAGTCATTATCCACCATGAGTTGATTTTTGTGAGAGGTGAGAGGTGCAGACCCTGTTTCAGTCTTCTACATGTGGCTTCCAATTTTCCAGCACAATTTATTGGAATAAGGATTCTTTCCCTAGTGTATGTTTTGTCTGCTTTGTCAAAGATTACATGGCTATATGAGGATGGTTTTATATCTGGGTTCTCAGTTCTTTTCCATTTGTCTATGTCTCTGTTCTTTTGCCAGACCTTGCTGTTTTAGTTATTGTAGCCTTTTAATATAGCTTGAAGTCTGGTAAATTGATGACTCCCAATTTGTTCTTTTTGCTTAAGATTGCTTTTGCTATACGGGGTCTTCTCTGGTTCCATATGCAGCATAGAATTATTTTATCTAGATTTGTGAACAATGATGTTGGTATTTTAATAGGAATTACATTGAACCTGTAGATCACTTTGGGTAGTATAGACATTTTAACAGTGTTAATTCTGCTGATCAATGAGCAGGTATGGTTTTCCACCTGTTTATGTCCTCTGCTGTTTCCTTCTTCAGTGTTTCATAATTCTCCCTGAAGAGGTCTTTCACCTCCTTAGTTAAATATATTCCTAGGTAGTTTGTTTTCTTTGTTGCTATTGTGAAGGGTATTGAGTCTTTAATTTGGTTCTCAGTTTTACTGCTATTGGCATATAGGAATGCTACAGATTTGTGTACATTGATTTTATAATCGCAGACTTTGCTGAATTTGTTTATGAATTCCAGTAGTCTCATGGCAGAATCTTTGTGGTTTTCTGGATATAAGAGCATATTGTCAGCAAGGAGCAATAGTTTGACCTCTTCTGCCTCTATTTGGAAGCCCTTGATTTCTTTCTCTTATCTGATTGCTTTGGCTAGGACTTCTAGCACTATGTTGAATAGAAGTGGTGATAGAGGGCAACCTTGTCTGGTTCCAGTTCTAAGTGGGAATGCTTTCAGTTTTCCCCAATCAGTATGATGTTGGCTGTGAGTTTGTCCAGTATGGTTTTTATCATTTTGAGGAAAGTCTCATCTATACCTATTTTGTTAAGTGTTCTTATCATAAAAGGGTGCTGAATTTTGTCGAATGCTTTTTCCAGGTCTATTGAGAGGATCATATGGTTTTGTTTTTTTTTTTTACTTCTATTTATGTGGTGAATTACATTTATAGGTTTGTGTATGTTGAACCATCCCTGCATCTCTGGGATGAAGCCCATTTGGTCATGATGAATTATTTTTTTGATAAGCAACTGAATTTGGTTTGCTAGGATTTTATTGAGAATTTTTGCATCTATATTCATAAGGGATATTGGTCTGTAATTTTCTTTTTTTGTTGTTGAGTCCTTTCCTGGTTTGAGTATCAAGGTCATGTTGGCTTCATAAAACGTGTTAGGGAGGATTCCTTCCTTCTTGATAGTGTGGAATAATATCTGTAGGATAGGAACCAGTTCTTCTTTGTAGGTCTGCATATGGTTTTATTTCTGGGTTCTCTATTCTGTTCCATTGATCATGGAACAGAATAGAATTTTTCTATGTGTTTACTTATGTGTTTACTTTTATGCAAGTATCATGGTGTTTCAGCTACTCTAGCCTTGTAGGATACAATTTGAAGTCAGTTAATGTGATGCTTGCAGTTTTTTTTTAAAGCATATTATGGGGATACAAATGTTTAGGTTATGTGTGTTGCCTTCCTCCCCCCTTCCCCCTCACCCGGAGTCAGAGCTTCAAGCATGTCCGTCCCCCAGATGGTGATGCCTACAGTTTTATTCCTTTTGCTTAGGATTGCTTTGGTTAATTGGGCTCTTTTTTCATTCCATATGGATTTTAGGATGGGTTTTTTTAATTCTGTGAAAAGTGATGTTGATATTTTGATAGAGATTGCATTGAATCTGTAGATTAGTATGGTCATTTTAATGATATTAATTCTTCCTATTTCTTTTTTGCTGAATGGCCCGAGCTGTCTGTGATTAGCCTGGTCTGGGCAGAGACCCCCGCCCCCGCCCCCCATCTCCGTGTCCCAGGTGGGAGGGCTGCTGGGCCTCAGGAGCCTGAGGGAGCACAGATGGATGGTCCCACCTGCAGAAGTGCCCAGGACAATTATTGCTGGACAGTTGTTGTGGTTCTTTGTGTCATATTTCCATCCTTTTTCCTGTTTTCTGTGTCTTTACCTTGATATCTGTGCATCAGTAACAGTAATAGTCCCTTTTAATTTTTCGAAGTTGCTTTCATAGGGAAGAATTTTTTCCTGAAGATATATATATGTTCTTGGATGAATAGGACACTTTGGCTTTGATTTTGGGTGCCCGTGGTATTGTGATGTCTGCTTGATTTCTTTGGTAGCACGTAAGGTCGGTGGTATCTGTGATTTCCTCAGTGGCTTAGAGTGTGGTTATTAGTTGAGGCTGTTGTGATGTTTTCCTGGGAACTATGATGCCTAATAGGCTAGTCTTTGGGCCCCAGTGGTGGGCTAAGTGTGCCTATTCTTAGACACCAGTCTGGCTTATGCTGGTACCATTGTTAGTGGGTCCTGGAAAGCTGCTTCTTCAACTTAATGGCTTGCTCAGATGACAGTGGTAGGCCAGGTGTGGAGTGGGTTTTCAGGCCCCTGAGCAGCTGGTGTAATGTGAGTGATGGCAGTGTTGGTGGAGCAATATACTGGGACCCAAGTGGTCTATGTTGGCATTGCTGGTAGAGGCAATGGGTTGGGTGGCCCAGCCCGCTGGCCCACTGGTAGTGGGTGTGGTAGGTGTCATTTGTGGTGATATCAGCAGGTTGACTCACATCCTGGCTGGGCGCAGCTAGACTATGAAGTCCAGCTGGCTGAGAGAGGCTTTCTAAAAGGTGGTACTGGCCAGTGAAGCCACCCACCAGTCCGCTGTGTCCTCAGTTCATCCACTTCCTCAGCTGGTGAATTCCCTGGTACCAACGGGCATCCTGGTGGGAGAGTTTAGGAATGATTTCCAACCCTGCCAGCCAGCCTACATTTCTTGCTTCCTTGTGCTCACTCAGCTGTCAAAACAGGGGAGTTCTTTTTTTTTTTAATTTCTATTTTGCCACCCTTTAAATGTCTGGTCACCCTTAAGGCTGGGAATTAGTGTTTATTTTCCCTTATTCCTAAAACTTCTACCATGGAGACTTTGTGACCCAAGTCTTTGCTCATCTGTAGTGTTTATTCAATGTTCTTTGGAGAGGGATAGTTGTCCCTTCTTCCACAGCCACTGGCTGGCAACCTCCTGGAGGGCTCGTTACCACACGCGTTGCAGGTATAGCTGTATTTTAAGCAGCTCTGTGTGAATGATGGGAGTCCTTTTGCAGTCTTTCCACTACTGAGTGAAAATAGATTTTTCACAGGAAATGGCAGTGAGGGCACTGGGTTTGGAATTAGGACTCTTGATCTTAATTGTTCTGTCTCTTAGGAGATGTGTGCTCTGGGAAAGTCACTAAATATACCTGAGTTTCCGTTTCAATTACAAAATGAAGGCATTTAGACTAGATCCCTGAGGATCCCATTCTAGCTCTGACATTCTCTGTTTATGTGGAGAGAATTATTAGTCTATTGACATTATTGGATCCATTTAGTCCCTGAAAGTTTTGAAGTGCTAACGCTTTTAGCAAAGTATAAACGGATACAAAGACAACCTTATATAAAAATAACAATATTCATGCTGTTAAAGGCAAATACTCTTTCTGTACTGTCCCACTAGCTATAAAAACAAGTGGCTGCTATGTAATCCTTTAAAAATATTTTATTAAGCATTGATTTTAAAAATGCAAGAAAAGAATGTCACACCTTAGAGCAAATGCTTAAAGGCAGAACAAATATCACTATAAATACTGCACTTATAAAATCTCTTTTTTACATCTTCACACAACTGAATTCTAAAATCTCCTTTTACAAGGATGCATAAATAAACTGCTTCCAAGCTGTCAATGCTTCACACGTTTATTTGCCTATCACTGCACTGAGTCAGCAGGTTTTCAATCAGATCTCTGCTCCTCTCAGTGCAGGCACAGAATTCCCATCAGCTATACCTACCTCACGTGAAGAGTAAACAAGCCCAATCTTTCAGAATCCTCTTTCAGAATATTCAATTTTTTAAGTATTTTTTTCTACTAAGAGAAAATAGATCTTTCAAAGGCAATGACAGAATACAGCTTAAATTGATACAGTTCACTGTTAACATTGCTTGTTTTTTAAGGCATCGAGGAGCTTCTGATTCTTTGTCTTGAACATCATGATAAAGCTGTTTGGCATGATTTTGCCTCGCCCATCTTCACCCACCTGGCCCATAATAATGTAATTTAGACCTAAAGAAAGAGAATGGAAAAATTAATCATTTTTACTATGTGTGTCGTTTGAAACAACATAGACTATAAAATTCAACTAATATTATAATATGTTCCAGGTCTGTTAACGCAAGGAAACTTAATGGAGTGGTTAGATCCAGTCACGTCCCTCTGCAGTGCTGTAGGTCTGGTGTAGTGACCAAACTTACAATGAACAATGCATTGCATTAACATGAAAGTCTCCTTCCTTAAGGGGCCTCCAGCGCTCCATGATGAGCCATCCTCATGGCTCTCATAGTTCCATCATGTGTCTTGATTTCTCCGGCATTTGGCAACTAATGATTCACTTTCTTCAGCTGTTGTCTTGAATTTTTATCAACAACTCAGGCATTTATACTATGTAGGTTTCATGAGGGCATGGGTGGATCATATACTTCTTGCATTCATATAGTTTCTTGCAAAAAATAGGTATTAAAAAGTACTTACATTTGTTATACTATATTTTTATACATTGGTATGGCTAGACTGGTGCCTGAGCCAAGTTGTGTTGGGTTCAACTCTAAGATTTATATTATTTCACAAAAGTGTCATAAAGGAGGTATATATTAATTTCTCCTTTATTCTCCTTCCCCCCACCCCATGTGTCATAGAGAAATATATGTTTCCTTTTTCTCTTGCATAACCCTTCCTGTGTGGGCTGACATTGTCTTCATAGTGGTCTTGAGCCTGTGAAAACTGGAGAGACTGGACAAGTGATGCCATCTCAAGGCTGAACTGCTAGCATCATTATAAGACCCTATGGCATCTAAATGTGTATTATCTGCTATTCCTGGCTGTTCTGGAAAGAAATGTCTATTTTTACAGAGCTTTGGTGGTTCCCTCTGGAGAGTCAACGTGAAGCTGCTAGCCTCCTGACTTGGCTGAACAATATGAATTCACAGTAAGCTTTCTTGAAGTGGATATTCTATATTTCTGTGTGTATGTAGTTTAGTTTGGTTTAGTTGTGGGAGAGGTTTGCGACAAGATTGAGGAAAGGAATGAGCTGAGACTTGACAGAGAAGTCATGATATATCACACAGTCAAATACCAGGCATTATTACCATTCCAAAGAAACAGAGATCTATCTATATGTGCTATTATGGAAAGATGTCTACATATACCTGATGTAGGGTAAAAGTTACAATAGAATATGTATAGTATGATCCCATAAGAGTGTATGCCCATGATTTATATGGATATAAACTTTCTGGGGAACTTTTTTTTATAGTACCTCTGGGGAAAAGAAAAGGGTTTTACTTTTTATTTTATACCCTTATCTACTTATTTAAATGTTTTAAAAACCATGAAATATACATTACCTTTATAAGGTAAATATTTTTTAAAAAACTCATGTGCCTCTGGCTCTTGAATAACCTTCTTATTTCTGTAATTTCTCTCAATAAATGTATTCCTATCCATGGATTTAATAGTTTTATCTCTGCAAATAATTCTGAAATCTTTGATTCTAACCTAGATACATCAATCTTTTCTCAACTTATGCTCTGCATTTCCTGTTGCTTGCTGGATATTTTCCACTAAACATAGATAGTATTGGCATCTTAAGTGCAATAATATGAAATCTCTTTCCCCTGAACTGCTTTTTCTGTGTCTGTTCCCTATTGACTCGATTTCAAATGCTTCTTGGACCTATTCATCATTTCTATCATCTCTTCTTTCTCCACAAGTTATAAGAACTGGGATTAGAGTCCAATTTTGCCTGACTCCAAAAGGTCCCCCTTCTCTACCAGAAGTGGGCCATGTATTAGCCCTCATTTTACCTCCCTAGACCAGCCATGGCATGGAAAGATCCAAGGCTTGCTCAGAGAGGCTCCCCCATTCCCTTTTCTGTCCCTCAGCAACCCTAGATAAGAAACTAAAGTTTTCTCCTTACTCACCTCTTCTGAGGAGAGGGCACTGCTTGCAGACCACAATGACCTTTGCACTCATGTTCTTGCCAGCCTGTTGAATAGCCAGATTTCCCTCCTTATAGATGTTGATGATTGAGACCGTGGCATGTAAACTCCCACCTCGAGTGACAGTTGTGATAACAGTGCCAGCTAATACTGTAGAAGAAAACATTTTTGAAATATGTGACAGTGAAGAAAAATGTAAGGAGAACTAAAAATAATTTTACATTCTTCTAAGTTTCATATATGAAACATTTTAATGTTAAAGAAAAGGCCACAATAGAGCTCTTGAATTTGATTCTGTACATTTGTCACCAAAATTCAGGTTGAAAAAAAGGGGTCATGGAGCTGTAATGTTACCCTGCTTGTTAGGTTTGATAACTAGGACAGAAACCTAAATACTTGCTGCACTGCAGTCTATTGCCAAGATGGGGACTAAAAAATGTCTTATCCAACATGTAGATCAATTGCCAAATGAGAGATAGGCTTATGAGCCTCTACATGTGAATATTCAAAAAGACCTTGAATCATTGAGGAAATACCCTACTAAGAGGTTGCATGATGGGGATATTTGGGCCACTAAGATCACAGTCTTTATGTCTGTGTGGATGAGTGTCCACCCTTCTGTGACTCTCTCTCCTCTTGCTTTTCTTTAGCTGTCCTCTCTCCTGGAATTTTTGTTCATCCCATGGGTCCTCATCTCTCTCTAAATATCAGCATATCTCTGATCTCATTTAACAAGTCAAAGTATAGAATTGAGGTATGACTTAAACATTTTTTTGCTTAAAAAAAGCTCTAGCAAAATTCTGTTGATTTTCATTATGTAACTCCCTGTTTCTGTCATGACACTCAAGAGTCTCTTTTGAGCCACAGAAAGAAAGACGGTATCTTCCTCAAAGGGGTGCTTCTGGCATTTTGGGGGGTAGGAGGAGAATAATTCCTTGTGGTCCAGGACTTGACTGAATTGCTTTCTTTTACCAGACTTGTCTTTGCTCAGAAAAACCAGTAATACTCCCCAGTTATTGTGACAACAAAAAACTGCCTCCTAGGCAAGTGCTACCAACCTTGGTTGAGAACCCATGGGCCACTAGTGATAGTACTTGGTCATTTTGCCATGCAAGTGACTCAATCAATGGGGTAAATCAAGTTTTGGACTTGGCTAGTATGACCTGTTTAGGATAAAGTGAACACTCGCTGCTTATGTAGTGTGCAAGGTTCATAAAATCAGAATTCTTATCATGCCTTCCTTTGATTCCTAGTAATGAGTGTTCACTGCAAAATGCCAGTGTGTTGCCAGGTGAAACCAGCGGCTTCCAAGTGACAGGGAGGGAGATTTCCTGAAGCACCTCCTACAGAAGAGTAGACCGGATATGGTAGCAATGACACCTGGTGCTGTTTGTTTTCATTTTTATGACAGTTGTTTGAATTTCAGCATACAAACTCCAGTAAGATTTAGATTTAGACACTCTTCAGTGTCCTCACACCTTCACTGTGACACAGCTTCCTGGGGCTGCAGTTACCACTTGCGGGCACAGAATGAGCTAGCAAAGCCTCTCTGGGGAGGCCCTTTGTTTTGGGTAACCTAGTTAGGCTGTAGCCACTTTCTTTTCCTGATAAGACTTTTCTTAAATGTTCCTTTTAAACTGCTATTAAAAATAACCAACATAATTAAAGTTAGTGCATTTTGCTCTTAAGTAATTTTAACAGATGGTACAATTTATTAATTGGAAAAAGCTCTTAGAAATTCGAAGTCATTAAGTAATATCTCCTCAGGTTCCAATTTATAAGAGTTTCCAAATGGACTTTAGATTTCCAAGTTTTAATTTAGTGCTTTGGAAGGATACCACAGAGAAAATAACCTGAATTTCTTCTGAGAAAAGCCAGCTTCTGAATATAATCTTTGGTATGTTTCTAATTTACTTAAGTCGAATTACAGATGTGTGAAAAAATACCTGGTACATGAAAAAGATGCGAGGAAAAAAAGTATACAGGTTTTTTTCAGGAATAGCCAAAATACACAGCGTATTATATACCAAGAGTCACATTATTAAGTTTCTATGAAAAAAGTGTATTTTCTATATGCATATTTTTCTCAGTTGTGAAATCTAACAATTCAAATAGCACAAGTCAACACACCCTAACGTACAGGGAAATATTTTCATGGGTAAGTGAACAGTGTTACTGACCCTTTACTATTAAATTCGTAGGCATTCCTTTGAGATTAAGCATGCAGTCTTAAGTTTCTGGTTAAAGAGAAAAGGCTGGTTTTTTATTTCTTACCAAAGTTACTTGAACAATAATTGCTCTCCAGAGTCCCCGTCCGCCTACACTTTTGCTGACACAGGGCCACGGTGGGTTTTAAACCTTAATGCAAAGAAGAAAGACATACAATTCAGGCAAATGAATTCAAGTATAATTGATCTGAATCTACCCATTTAAAATTACCATTTATTTCCCTGAGCCACCAATCTATCATTGCAATGAAATAATTAAAAACCATGCAAAAGAAATTCTTCATGCTACTAACAACTGCTCTGATTGCCTCAGGGCAACTCAATACCCTCTACTGAATTTTAAACCTGACATCAAAGATAGTACAAGTTTGCCCTGTTGTCTTCTTCTGTTATATAAAACTAACATTATAACCCAAAATAGATATATTCTGTTTGTTCCCTGCTTAGAAAAACCCAGTACAACAAATCTGAACTCACAGAATGTAGGTTAATCTTTCATTTTACAAAAGAAATCCTATGGTGTTCCCCTAAGGATGGAAGGAGCCTTCCCGGTGCATTTAAAATATGCAATTGCCCAAATGTTAGTACAAGGTCTTAGAAATGCTGCTCACAGATGTGTTACATCTGTAATTAAATGCAACCAATCACTAAATATTTAGTGGCCTTGGCTATAAATATTTTAAGAACTGAGAAGTAGACAACTTTAAAAGTAAAGCTAAATAGATAAACACAGTAGTTCTCAATTAGTGGGTGATTTTGCCCCATAGGTGACATGTGGCAACATCTAGAAACATTTCTGGTTGTCACACTAGAGGGTGCTACTAGCATCTAATGGGTAGATGCCAGAGATGCTCCCAAAGACCCTACAATGAATAGGACAGTTCCCACAACAAAGAATTACCTGGCCCAAAATGTAAATAGTGCCAAGGTTGAGAAACCCTGGATTAACAAGATGAAAATATTTAATACCCATTATCATCTTAAAAATGTTTCAAGAATATTTACTAATTATGTGCTTATGTTTGGCAACATGTTAGGAAGAACTAAACAAAACTGTAACAGAATTGCACTTGTGTAAATATCTGCACTTCTAATACAATATAATATTGCCCTTCTAATACATTCCACCAATTCCTCTGTGAATTTTTACTTACTCTTAATTTGTACCCCTACTTAACTCTAAAAAGGATCTGAAGTGGATGGCAATTTGAAAAACATACAATTTAATGTTAAAATACATAAAATAGCTTAAATATGTATTTTTTTTTAAATGAGAAAAACTTAGAAAACATTTAGAGTGAGAGACATACTTCATTTCAGAAGTTGGGGACCTCACTTTGGGCACTAAATTTACCTAATTATCTGAGTCAAAAAGTAGTGGTGTCAGTGATTCTCCTGTCTGATGACAGACAGCACGCTTTCACGTGGCCCAGCGGAAAGTGGCTCCTTCTCAGCCTCAGAATGTCGGTGTAGAAGTTGGATGGGTGTCCCACCCTGCTCCTGCTCTGCCTTTGGTAGAGCCCTACTCTCTTGCCTGTAAGTCAACAGCTCTACCCCCCTCACCCTCCTCATCTTACTGTAATCCATCCACTGTCCTGTGCTCACACACACAGCCCTCGTTCTCAGCTTCCTCTCCAGGTGTTCCTGCGACCATCTCTGTTGGTCCACTCTCCCCATGGATGATACTTCAGTCCCCTGGTCTCATCTTCTCCAGGGACTGTCCCTCTCTCCATCTCAGACACCCAGTCCCAGGCTCAGATGTCCTCATGCTAACGTTGTTCACTGACAATCTCCCAAATTTAGACACCCTAGTATCCAGTATAGCCTCTTCCCCTTACAAGCTTATTTATTTAATTACTCTTTTGATTACTTCTTTTTCTGTCTTTGGAGGTTCAATCACTGACCTCTCTCATTTTTCCCAATCCATCAATCCTAGCCTGTCTTTACTTCCTTAGCAATTCCATTTAGTATCCATCGTCCATTATTACAGTCATCTTCTTGACAATACCTTAAATTCCTTTCCCCTCTGTCCTTAGACCCTGTATGAATCCTGTACGAGGATCTGTTTTTTTCTGTGTCTCACCTCAGACAGCTGAGTATGGAGTGAACTTTCATCAAGGTGACAGGCTGGTGGATCACCTTACTCTCCAATTTCCACAGCTATTTTTCAAATTCTTTCTCATTCTCCTAACTTCTAGTGCTGCTACTTCCCTTCTCACTCTCAGCAGGTAACTGCCTATTATCTAGACAGAAGAGAAGTCATAGCTGAGAATGTCCTCGAGATACCTACCAAACCTCCAAGTCATCTTTACTGTGCCTTCTCTCTTCCTTTCCTCCTCTGAGAGAGGGGTCGCGCCCCTCTGTCTAAGGTAATTCCCTCCATTAGTCCTCTGGAGCCAGACCCTCCAGCCTTCCTGCTGTTTATCCTTCTTTCTGTCTGCCATGATCCTCTCCTTCTTCTGTGCTGGCTGTTCCCATCAGCATTAACAGGTACAAGGCTCTCAAGGCCTGCCCCCTCCTTTAAGACCAAACTTGTGGAATGAGTTGCTGGAACTTTCTGTCTCAATTTCTTCGCTTTGTACTCTCTCTGGCTTCTGCCTGCACAACGCCACTTACATAGCTCTTGCCAGGATCTCCAGTAGCCTCATGTCATGAAATCAAATTGAAACAGTTTAGTCCTCCCCTTACTTGAGTCTCATCAACACTTGATTCAGTGACCATTCCTGTTTTAGAACATCCTCTCCCATGGCTTCCAGGCACATGCTCCTGGGTTTGTTCCCTCCTCCCTAGACACTCCTTTCCAATCTCTCCTTTTCCAGCATACCCTTCAGCAAGTTGTATTTTCTAGACACTTAATCCCAGCTCCTCTCTTCCTTCTACCCTCAACCTTGCATTAAGCAATCTCATTCTTGATCATGGTTTCTACTATCTATATGTTGATGACTCTTAAATTTAAATCTCTGGCTTAAATCTCTGTTCTGTTCTGGAGACCCACATATGTCTGCATGGCATCTCCACTTGAAGGTCTCACAGACACCACAAACCCAGTGAGGCCACAGCTTAATTTATGAATCTACCCCCAAACCATGTCTCTATTTCAGTGAATGGTGACACTGTCCCCCCCAGTTGTGTAAGCCTGAGAATGCACGTGGGAGGCACTCTTGACACCTTCCTGATCTCTCCAGGCCAATTAATCATGAAGCCTGTCACTGCCTCCCTCTCATCTTGACGGTATCTATATCCGGACCACAGCACGGGTCACCTGAAGAACACAGGAACCTGCTGATCCTCTTGATCCCTGCAATCCATTCACCTCACTGTGGCCGGAATGGTCTTCATGCAATGCAAATCTAATCCTGAACTTTGCTTAAACGTATCATCAGCTTCCCCAACACTTAGGATAAAAACTAAAATACTTAGAGCACAAGGAGAGAGCTGGCAGGGCCTGAAGATGAAGCTAGAAAGGGAGGCCAGGGACAAAATGTGAAGGGTCTTATATACCACATGAAGGAGTTTGTGCTCCTGTGTTGTCCAATTTGGTAATTACTAGCCACATGAGGCTTTTAGAATTTAAATTAAAATCAAATTAAAAGTTTAGTTCCTCAGTATCACTAGCTATGTTTAACTGCTCAGTAGTGGCTGCCATATTGGATAGCACAGCTGTAGACAATGAATTTAACAGAATGACATGGTCTGCTCTGGGGTGGGGGGATGCCATGGGGAGGTAGATAGAGGAAATCGAGGATGACCATATAAGTGTGGCTACTGATGCTGTGAACATGCTTGGGAGAACAGGTGGATAAGCAGGGTTGAGGCAGAAAATAGTGTGATAAAAATGAGTTTTGCAATGCTTTAATGTGTGTGTCTAGCAGTTGCAAAATGTCTAGGAGATATTTATAAATCCATGTTTGCAATTTCAGAGAAAGTTTAGGTTGGAGATAAAAGCAGGGCTTCCACTAGCACCATGGGTATAACCAGATAATTCACCAGAAATAATCAGAACACCAAGGCCCAAGAAATACAGCAGTGACATGAGGCAGTACACATCCAGGCCACAAGGTGGCCCACTTGTGGAGTGTCAGACAAATCAGACCTAGAAGCGCCTGCCTGTACTAAGGACAGCGCTACCCAGGGTGTATGTAGAAAATCTTAGGTAATCAAGCTGAGCTTATTTCAGCCTATTTCATATCTGTACCTTATAGTTTTCCTTCCCACATTTTACCCCTCCTCCCTGGATTTGGAATTTTAGATCTGAGGCTTGAAATCCCATGGGGTGGAGCGGACAGGATACAGAGTAATATACACATCTTAGATCATGCCCCAGACCAGAGTTTCCCAACCAGCTTCTGTAATATGTTGAATATTTTTGTATGATTTATTCCAATTTGAAAAAAAATAATATATTTTATAAGACTTTTTTTGAGGAAATAAAAAAAGCCCAGGTATCAAGGCTCTAGAACTTTAACCTAAAATACCACAATTTTATGTAATACAAAGAGAACCATAATTTTGTAAGTACCAGAAAAGGAAACCCAGACTTATAATTATCTGCTTATAATAGCCTTCCTAGCAATGTGTAAGTGGGCATAACTTTCTTAGATGATATTTAAAAACTATTAGCTTATCAGCATCCTTATACCCTTTACCTTTCTTTCATCAGTGGAGTCACGTTATTCTCTCACATAAGTTTCATCCTATTTAACTATTTTAGTTTCAAGAATATTCCTCTTATTTAATTTTTTTCTACTTAAAAAGAAATCTTCTCATACACCTGAAGTGTCTTTACAAACTTCCAACAGAGAAACTTACCTGTAGTTACCGGGAACGTGGTGGTAACAGGTGGTGCTGTAGTCGTAGGCAGTCTTTTCGGCCTGAATTTGTAGTGACCAATAAATCCATCTGCAGTTAAACTGAGGTCTGATAAAAACTGAATAAGAAGTTCATTCTTCTCAGATACAATTGGCCTAAAAGAAGAGAAACCTGTTTTTAAAAATGCATACATTATATTTAAAGTTTAAGTGGTACCTCTCTGAAAATGTAAACTTTTCTAGCTTTCTATTACTCTACTCTAACAATAGGTTACCATTTGTTTAAATGTAAAAGCTAAAACACTTAAAAGGTGAAAGACTTAATCTGCTAAATATTATTAACAATTCTAATAGCTAACATTTTCTGAGTGTTTGCTCAGCTTGGTGCTGTGTTTTATGTGAACTGTTACATTCCATCTTCACAATAACCTTATTATTATTCCCTTTTTATGGAATAAGCAACTGTTGAGACAGTTCAAGTAATGTGCCCGAGACCCTACACAAGTGAGGGTCAGGATTTGAACCCAGGACCAGGTGACTCTAGAGACTGTGGTAGACATTGGGACCAGTGTAAATGCTGAAGCTGTGATTGGTTTTCCTTCCACAGGCACGTGAGGGTTGCTGACTTGGGAAGGCATATCTTTGAACTAAGACTGGGTTCAAGCAGGCCTGGGAGCCAGATGCTGGCCACAGAGAATCCAGTGGACAAATGTGATGAACAAATTCCCACACCCTGTGGAGATCCAGCCAGAGGATGATCTCAGTGGTCTGGTCACTCTGGGATAAGAAAGCCATGCAGGATTTAAAGGGACTTCCATTTCATTTTTAATGGAGTTCTTAAACATTTCTGAAACGGAAACATTTCTGTTATAATCTCTATTAGCAAAATGCCGTGAAGGAAAAAGAAAGTAAATAATATGTTTTGGTGGTCACAAATTTTATCATTGATTAAGAACTAATTTCAGGGTCTTGCTGGTTAGTTGATACTAAAGATTTAATGTAGATAACTGAGGCTCAAAAGCTCTCTTAAATCTTAGGGGATAACTGTATTATACAAGATAGTAGTTTCTTCTAAGTTTTGCTATTATTATTGAATTTTTACCATTGCTATTAAACAATGGTTAAGAATGCTGGTTGGTTAATTCTGTATAAAAACTAATTCAAGAGTAGAAAAAAATTAAACAAATTATTTAACTGAATTAATCAGTGGTTTGACTAAACTTTTCTGAGCCGTCTTCTTGGCCACATCATTTTGTAGGCATCATAGACAGCAAATTGTGGTCAATTCTGGTTTCTTTCCCCCTCCTATCAGCTACTTTGAGTGGGATTGGGTGGCAGAGAGGGTAGATCTGTACTTGACCCAGCCAGTTAGAAAAACTGAAGGATCTTTTCTGTCCTGAATAATAACATTCTGAGCCAAGGGATGGGACAAACCTAAAAGTAAGTTTGTGACTTACATTTATATTAATAGTGTGCTTCTGTTTGAATCTTTGTCCCCTCCATAACTCATGCTGAGATTTAATACCCAGTGTGGCAGTATTGAGAGGTGGTGCCTTTAACAGGTGACTGGATTATGAGGGCTCTGTCCTCATGGATGAATTAATCCATTCATGGATTAATGGGTTTATGAATTAAGGGGTTATCACAGGAGTGGGACTGGTGGCTTTATAAGAAGAGGAAGAGAGATCTGAGCAGTGTGTCAGCACACTCAGTCCCTCGCCATGTGACGCCCTGACCCACGTCCCACGTCAGGACTCTGCGGAGTCCCTACCAGCAAGAAGGTTCTCACCAGATGCAGTCCCTCAACCTTGGACTTCTCAGTCTCCATAACTGTAAGAAATAAATTCTTTTTCTTTATAAATTACCTAGTTTCAGGTATTCTGTTATAAGCAACACAAAACAGACTAAGACACAGTTCTAGCACAAAAGTGATCAGGTCATTTAAATGTTTCTGAGATTCAAGTCTTTCACAGAAATATTCTGCCTTGCTTTTGAAGAATACATTACGTTACATAAATAAAACCAGTGCACTAAACACAAATCTCACCTACAATTACAAATAAAACATGTTAATCTTGTTTAAATGATAAAATTACAAAAAGCAGTCATTATAAAGCCGCAAAGGAAATCTTAATACCCAATTAGGTCAGGCTTCTGGACATGATATTATAGTGATCATTTACTGCTTTTTCTATGAACTAATCTCAGAGGCACTATACTGGAAATTAAATCTTCTCAAGGAAGAGCATTCTAGTAACAAAGACATAATTTTGTTATGTTGCTACTGAACTTTAGTATAAATGGGACAGAATCACAGTGCCATAAATGTACTGAGGGCCAACCATTGCATCTGCAAATTAGCGTTACACATCACTAGGAAGACAAGAGAAAAATCTCACTTAGATCCATTCTGCACTGGCAAATCCCAGGGATGGATTAAGATACTGTCTCCTGTGGTACAGAGCCAGATATGTTAGCTGTCTGTTTGCTATTACATAGTCTTCCTGTCCTTCAATCACTACAGCCAACCAAACACCATGATTCACATCAATCACCTTGATGATGAATCAAGGTGACTCAATTCACCCTGATTCACATCCTCCTCTTCATCTCCACCACCCTTCTCTACCACCTTCACTTTACCTGGACCATTGTAGCAGCCTCCTAATTAGCCTCCCTGCTCATCTTGTCTAGGATGGGAGTTCTAAAGCACCTCTGTAGGTTGTGGAACCCAACTAATTCAACCCTCCTGCCTCATCTCTTTGTAGGCCCCAACTCAAGGGTTGGGCTCCAGAAATGGACTCTCCTTTGTGTATCTTTATAAATGGAGTTGCCTCTGCTTGGAATGAGCCTGTCCTCCTTCTGCCTCTAACTCCAACTCTTTCTTCAGACTTAGCTTTAAGAGGCACAATCTTCTCCAGAAAGCTTTCCCTGATCACTTGCCCAGATTGGGCCAAAGGACTCCTCAAAATCCACCCAGGACATTCCTTTGCCAATTTACCTGTCTTCCTTGTATTGTTCCTTCTCACTACTTATCTTTGTAATTTTTATATATCTTTGCATTCTGGGTACCTAACATAGTGTCCAGCTGGGCACATAGCTGGGATAGAATAAAATTTTTGAACTGAATTCAATGGCATTGATACTACACTGAAGCAGACACAGATATAATGGGGTGAGGTCCTTCTGTTCTCAGTGCTCCTCCTACTCATATTTTTAGCAGGGGAAATGCTCCACAAACAGATTTTCTCATTTTTTGCAGGACCCTACCCCAGAAATATTCTCACTATGGAAAAATAGTCCTCTGGATAAAGGTGTGAGTTGGTGGGTTGGCAGTCAAGCTGCTCCAGCCAAATTCCTCAGAAGTTGAGTGATGCTCACTCAACAGCCACCTCCATCGCCTCTCCCAACTCCCCTCCTGAAGGCAACACTATCCTGAACTTTGTGTTTATCATTTCCTTACTTTTATCTATAGGATTTATGTCACACACACACACACACACAAACACACATATATATACACACACACACACTCAAGCATGCATCACTACACAATATACTGTATAGGTTTGCACAATTTAAACTTAAATGAAAGAGTAGGGTGTGTATTTTTCTGTTTTCTTTTAACCTCTCAACATTGCAACTGTGAGATTCATCCACTGTTTTCATTGCTATATGGTGTGTACTATATCACAGTTTAACTTCTCTTATTAATAAACATTGGCTATTTACATTCCCCTCCACAAACAATATTGCTGATAATATTATTGTATATGTCTTATGTTGCACATGGGCTAAAATGTCTTTAATGGGGGTACCGGGAGGGTAGGGTATGCTCTATCCTACGTTATATGATAATGCTCATTTTCAACTTTATTAGCTAATGCTAAACTGATTGCAAAAGTAGTATCAATTTATACTCTTTTCAAAGGTTTTTTCACTGTACAGCTATCTTCTTTTGGGAATGTCTTTACATGTCTTTTTCCTATTTTTCTATTGGGTTCTTATCTTTTCCTCATTAATTCTTAGGATTTCTTCATATATTCTGGAACCTTGGCCTTTGTCAAATATATGTTATAAATACGTTTCCATTTGTGCCGTTTCTTTTCCCTCTCTTTAAGGTATATTTCGATGAGCAGAAATTTTCATCTAAGTTTCTCATTTAAGTTTCCAAACCATGTCATTGATTTTTGTGTATTAGATATGAATATAATTTTATTTTTCCATATGAATAAAAATAGTCTCTGCCCCATTTTTCGATGGGGCCATCCTTTCTTTGCTGACCTTTGGTTCTCTGTGATGTGTCCAATGTGCAGATACATGTGGATGTGTTTCTGGCTTCTCTCTGTTGTTTCATTAGTCAATTTGCCTACTGTCTGTTAAAACCACACTGTCTTAATTACAACAGCTTTCTGATATTGTTCCATACATGGTAAGGCAAGTCTTCCTGCCAGGTTCTTCTCCTTTAGAACTGTCTTAGTTTTGCCCTCTTCCTCCTATCCTTTGCAATTCCATGTACAGTGTAGAATCAGATTGCCAGATTTGATAGAAAACCAGTTTCAATATTCTATTAATAAAATGATATTGAGTATACCTATTCATGAGCATTGTATATAGCTCCATTTATTTAGGTTTTTAAAAATATCTTTTAGTAGGCTTTGATAGTTTTCTCTATTAAGGATTGATGCATTTTTAGATTTATTCTTAAGTATTTTGTATTTTTGTTGCTTTTAAAATAATATTTAAAAAATACAAATGTTTAAATTCAAGCAATTTAAGAAAATATATTTTTGAATAAAATGATGTTTCCAACAAGTAACATTAATCCACAAGTTATACTTTAATCTGGTAACATATAAAGTTAAATTAATAGATTTTCTAAATTCAAACTAACCTTGAATTCCTGGTCATAGAGTACTTTTATATATTACTAGAATTTGGCTTCCTAATTTTTTTCTTTTAGGATTTATTTTCATCATATTCATAAATGAGATTGGTCTCTAATATTATTTTTTTGTACTGTCCTTACCTTGTTTTGGTGTCAAGTTTATACTAGCCTTATTAAAATTAGTTGTGGAACAATCTCTACTTTTCTCTGGAAGAATCTGTGTAGTATCGAAAATATCTTTTCCTCAAATGTTTGTTAGAACTCACTTAGGTAGAAAAACTATCTGGGCTTGGTTTCTCCTCTCACCCCCAGGAAAACTTTTAACTATTGATTAGATTTCTTGGTGATTATTTGGAAAATATGACCTTTTCTTTCTCCTTTGTCCATTTTTGCTTGAAAAGAATGTGTTTTTTCTAGTTGGATGCAGTGTTCTCTATTTATCCTTTAGACTATGCCTGTTAATTGTTTTTCAAATCCACATCCTAATTTCCCATCTTTCTCTCATTAATAGTTAATCTGTCAATTATTGAAAGAGATGGAGTTTTAAAAATCTCCTGCTATAATAGTGGACTTTGTAGATCTGTCCTTTTATTTTTTTATTTAAATATTTTTTTGCTTCATATGTTTTTGATGTACAAATTCATAATTTTTATAAGTTTACAATTGTTATACTTGCCTGATAAATTGTACCTTTTATCATTATATAGTAACATTTCTAGTAATGCTTTCTGCCTAAAATCTATTTTTCCCAATATCAATAAAGCAATTCAAATTTTCCTTCAATTAGTGTTTGTTTCCAATATCTTTTTCTATCCTTTTATTTCCAAACTCTGTGTTTTTATTTTTGGGTGATGTGTCTTATAAACAGCATATGTAACTGGATTTTGCTTTGTTATCCAGGCTAACCCTCTTTGTCTTTCATTAATTATTTGATCCATTTGTATTTACATTGATTACAGCTTTATCTAGATATATTTCTGCCACCTTATTTTGTGCTTTTTATTTGTTGTGCTTTTAAAAATGTTTCTCATTTTATCTTTTCTTTCCTTCTTTTGGATTGAACTTTTTGTCATTTACTGTTTTTCAACTGTTTTGGAAGTTAAAAACTCCATTTCTCCTCTTCCAGAGGTTATCCCACATTTAACATCCACATTTACTTTATCATATTACAAAGTTTAGTAATATCTTCACCCTATATTCAAACAATATAAGGACTAAAGAATCCATCAACTCTTATGACCAATATCTTTGCTCAGTGTTTCTTCCTGCATGTCAGTCCTTTATTCTGTGATCAATATCTTTCTGCTTGAAGTATAATACATAGTGACTTTTCTTTAGTGAGAGTCTGCTGGTAAACTCTCCCCTCTTGTTGGACTGAGAATATTTTTTTTCACCCATATTTGCAAAAGAGTTTTTCTGGGTAAATTATTTTGTTTCAGCACTTGAAGATATTCTTCCAAGATCTTTTAACTTCCATTGTTGCTATTAAGAAGTCAGTTGTTGGGCTAATTGTCTTTCCTTTGTGATAATCTGTCTTTTTTCTCTCTGGCTGTTTTTAACATCTTCTGTCTCTGTTATTCTGTAGTTTTACTATATTACATGTAGGAATGGATATGTAATCATCTATGTAGTTTGGGATTTATTGAGTTCTTGAATTTGATAATTGTTATAGTTTACCCATCTTTGAAATTCTAAGCTTTTTAAATTATTTCTTCAAATTTTAAATTTCCTACATTTTGTCTTTATTTTTTGGAATGCTGATTAAAAGTACATTAGGCTTTTTCACTCTTGCCTCTCCTAATAGCTCTTATATTTTCCATCTGTTTGTCTCTGTGCTGTATTCCAGGTTATTACTTCATATTTATTTCTCAATTCCCTAATTCTTTCTGCAACTGTCTGATCAGCTATTTAATACATATATTAAGTTTCTTGTTTTAATTGCTAAATGTCTCAGTTCTGGGGTTTCTAGTTAGTTCCTTGTTAAATCTGTTTGATTATTTCTGAAAGTCTCGTTTTCTTAGTCATACTTTCAATAATGTGCACTTTGTAGGCCCAGTATATTTTGAATGAATTTCTTTAAGCCCACTTATTTTACATTCTGTATCTCACAATTTTAATATATATAACCTCTGTGGTTCTGATTATAACACTTGTGTCTACTGACTCTGTTTATCTTGCCTCTTCCTTTTTGATTGGGAGCTTATGTTCTTTGAAACTTTATTTACATAGATTCCTAAAGCTCAAATTAAGAGGCATTATTCCAGTGAAGATTTGTGTTTTCATCTGTCAGCTCCTGTGGGCACTATCAACTTGGAAACTTTAAACAAAATACTTGACCTAGTTTTTTGGGACAGTCAGGTAGCATATATTCTAACCCCAAATGCATTTGTGGCCTGGGTTTTGGTTAGAAATTCTCATCAGAAACTATCCTCCCCTTTACCAAAAGCCAAGGCAAAACCAGCCAATTTTCATTATTATTTCTAGGTTTCTTGACTGAGTCCTTAATATCACCCTGTTTTTCTTTTCAGAATTTTTCCATTCCATTCATGCTTATCTCACTCATGAAGGGCGGTGATGTGTCCTGGCAGGTGGGTGAGTTGGTTATGAACCAGCATCTGACTCTGGGGCATCACCAGCTCTGTCTGCTTCTGTTTATCTGTTTGGCTGTTGAGGTCTCTCTACGTTCTTGTTAATGTTGCCTCAGTTTCTAGGTTGGGTTTTTTTGTTGGTGGTGCTGTATAGGACACCACTTTTATGGAACCCAAAACTTTGTTAACAAAACAACAACATAACATCTTCCAGAAAACAAATATAATTGGAAAACTTAATTTGAGAAACAAGTTTAGAGCCATTAAACTCTAAAATATTAATAACATAAATAGGTGCTACTTACGCAGGTGGACTATCACCACAATACTTTCCAATTCTTTTAGCATCATTGACTTCCCCACCGTTAAACACAGCCACATAGTCATATCGGCAGTAGTTATCTCGCTCAACATCAAACTTCTCAAACTTTAATTCTATAAGCTTTAGAGAAAGCAAAATATTAGAAGTGTTAAAATGGTATAGTTGAATAACCTCAAGTGGAATTCTTCCTCTCCCTAGATTTATAAGATATCATAATTTTCCTTTGTAAAAAATATGTTCTTTCTATAAATGATTTTTTTCTTGTTGCATATTTCTTATTCAGTTAACAATATTGTAGTATTCTTTTGCTTTCATTTGTAATCATTCCAAAAGATCCTTTCAAACTCAGATCAACCCTAGTTAGGATCTTAAACTTACAGGTACAAAAGTATGAGAACACTACGTAACTCTAGCAACCTATGTTAAAACTGTAATTGGTTCTGGAAATTTACTTTGCAGCATGATAACTACAGTTAATAGTAATGTATGATATACTTGAAAATTGCTAAGACAGTAATTTCTCACCCTCCCCACACACACAACACAAACACACATTGATAGCAACACAAAATGGACTAACATATCAACTATACCTTAATAAAGCTGGGGAAAAGAGAAAACATAGAGAAAAAAGACTGTAATAGGATAATTGGGTGTGTGTTGGAGTGGGAACAGGAGCTATATTTCAGCTTCATCTTTTTTCTACAAGACTACTAGAAATAGAAAGTATTAACAGGGATCAAGATGGCTAATAGATACAGGTAGTATGTACCTTGTTAAGGAGAGAAATGATAATAGTAAGCAGATATTCACACTTTGAACAAATTTTCTAGGAGAGGAGAGTAGAATTCACCAGAGGAGAGACCAGAAACACCAAAAGCAAGGAGAGGGGTCAAGGCAGCTTGCCAGGCCAGAGAACCTAGATACCAGGGACCTAAGAAGAGAGAGGAGACACCAGGCACTCCCAAGTACCCCTGGGAAGGTCTCCACCAGTCTGCTGTGGGCTGCAATTGAGACTGAGATGTGAGCAGACTGCACTCCCATAGCTGCTTGCCCACACTGCTTGTCTAGGAGGGGGCCCTACACTCTCTGGTCACAGGTTTAAGGCACCATTTTGAGAGTTTAATGCTAGGCTGCACCATGCCCTCAGCCCAAGTTCCAGCTGACACAGCAAGTAGCTGCCATCTGACCAAGGATGGACAGGGAAACCACAGTCTCCTACGCATACTTGGGACAATACCCACTGCCCTGCAACAGGCTGTTGGGAGACCAAGATGTGAGAGGGCTGCACTCCCCACAGCTTCTTACCCACACTGCTCGCCTGAGAAGGGCCCCTCATTCCCTGGCCTCATGCCCAAGGTCCCATTTTGAGAATTTAACACTGGGCTGTGCTCCACCCTCAGGACAAGTTCAAGGCAATGCAACTATAGCTGCCACCCAGCCAGAGAGGGAGAAATGAGCTAAGTGAGAAGTAAGAGAATTCTAAAAACAGTACAAAGAAATCAGAAAATCAATTCAGGATATAAATGAGAAATTTACCAAGGAGATAGATATCTTTTGAAAAACCAAACAAACTCTGGAACTAAATTCATTGAAGAAAATACAAAATACATTTGAAAGCTTCAAAAATAGACTATACCAAGCAGAAAACAGAATCTCAGAACTTGAAGATAGGTCTTTTGAAATGATCTAGTCAGATAAAAGAAATAAGGAAAAAAGAATTTTAAAAATTGAACAAAGCCTTCAAGATATCTGAGACTACATAAAGTGACGAAATTTATGAATTATTGGTATTCCCAAGGGGGAAGAGAGATCAAAAAGTTTGGAAAACCTATTTAAGGAAATAACTAATGAAAATTCCCCAAGTCTACGAAGAAAGACATCCAGATACAGGAGGTGCAATGATCCCCAGACAAATACATTGCAAAAAGGACTTCGCTACAGCATATTATAATCAGAATGTCTAAAGTCAAAGTGAAAGAATTTTAAAATTAGAAAGAGAAGAGGATCTAGTCACCTATGAAGGAAACCCTATCAGACTAACAGTGGACTTCTGAGCAGAAACCTTACAGGCCAGAAGAGAATGAGATGGCATTTTCAAAGTGCTGAAAGAAAAAAAACCTGTCAGGCAAGAATTTTATATCCTGTTAGAATAAGCTTCAAAAATGAAGAAGAAATAAAGTGTTTTCCAGACAAGCAAAAACTGAGAGAATTCAGCACCACCAGACCAGCCAAGAAATGCTCAAAAGAATTTTAAGCATAGAAATGAAAGGTTGGTATTTATCATCATGAAAACATATGAAAATATAATACTCCCAGGTCTTATAAAACAATCATGCAAAGGAGAAAGACAAAAGAATCAAATGGCAACATGATAGAATTTTATCAAACCACAAATACAAAAAGAGAAAAAGAAAAAAAGGGAGAATTTATAAAACAACTAAAAACAATGAAAAATATGATAGTAAAGCCTCACATATCAATCTTAACCTTGAATGTAAATGAATTAAATTCTCCACTTAAAAGATACAGATTGGCAGAGTGGATTAAAAAAAAACAAAACAATCTGGATAGCCAAAAAACTATCATTAGAGTGAATAGACAATCTACAGAATGGGAGTAAATATTTGCATACTATACATCTGATAAAGGGCTGATAGCTAGAATCCATATAGAACTCATGAAAATCAGCAAGAAAAAAACCAAACAACCCCATTAAAAAGTGGGCAAAGGATATGAACAGAAACTTTTCAAAAGAAGATAGACTGACGGCCAAGAAACATATGAAAAAATGCTTAACATCTCAAATCATCAGAGAAATGCATATCAAAACCACAATGAGATATCATTTAACTCCAGTGAAAATGGCTTTTATCAAAAAGTCCCAAAACAACAAATGTGGATGTGGATGTGGAGAGAAAGGAAAATTCACACATTGCTGGTGGGACTACAAACTAGTACAACCTCTATGGAAAGTAATATGGAGATACCTCAAAGAACTAAAAGTAGAAATACCATTTGTTCCAGCAATCCCACTACTGGGCATTTACCCAAAGGAAAAAAAGACATTTTATAAAAAAGACATCTGCACTGCAATGTTTATAGAAGCACAATTCACAATTGCAAAGATGTTGAAATGACCCAAGTGCCCATCAATACATGAGTGGATGAATAAAATGTGGCATATGTATACAATGGAGTACTATTCAGCTCTAAGAAACAATGGTGATATAGCACCTCTGGTATTTTCCTGGATAGAGCTGGAACCCATTCTACTAAGTGAAGTAACCCAAGAATGGAAAAATAAGCACCACATGTACTCACCAGCAAATTGGTTTCACTGATCAACACCTACATGGACATATAGGAATAACATTTATGAGGTGTCGGGCAGGTGGCGGGGGAGGGGATGGGTATATACATACGTAATGAGTGCGATGCACACCAATTGGGGGATGGACACACTTGAAGCTCTGACTCGGGTGGGGGAGGCAAGGACAATATATGTAACCTTAACATTTGTACCCCCATAATATGCTGAAAATAAATAAATAAAGACAAAAAAAAAGATCTTGGCAAGGATGCGGAGGAAAAAGAACTCTTACACACTATTGGAGGGAATGTAAATTAGTACAACCTCTATGGAAAACAGAATGGAGATTTCTCAAAGAACTAAAAATAGAACTACCCTTCAATGTGGAACCCCACTACTGGGTATTTATCCAAAGGAAAAGAAATCAATATATAAAAAAAGATACCTGCTCTCTTATGTTTACCACAACACAATTCACAATAGCAAAGATATGCAATCAAACTAAATATACATTAATGGATGATTGGATAAAGCAAATGTGGTATATAACAGAATACTATTTAGCCACAAAAAAGAATGAAATCATGTCTCTTGCAGCAACATGGATGGAACTGGAGGCCATTATCTTAATGAAACAACTCAGACACAGAAAGACAAATATTGTATGTTCTCATTTATAAGTGGGAGCTAGATGACGTGTACACATGAAAGCAGAGTGTGGAATGATGTACATTGGAGACTAGGAGAGGTGGGGAGGTTGGTGGGGGTAGATGATGGGAGGTTGCTTGGTGGGTACAACATGCATTGCTCCAGTGATAGATGCACTGAAGGGCTTAACTTCACCACAGTGCAAAATATCAATGTAGCAAAATTGAACTTGTACCCAATGAATATAGATAATTAAAAAGTAAAAAATAAAAAAATTTTAAATTAAAGAAAAATCAGAGACCTAAATATCCAACAAGAGCAGATTGTTAAGTAAATAATAGAACTTCCATACACTGGAATACATAGGTATTTATTCATATAAAAAAATCTTCATGATCTGTGCTAAAGGGAAGATTAGAAAACATATATATATATATATATATATACACACACACACAATGATATTTTATTATATATCTATAAAAATAAAATGCTAGACACTCACAAAAATTTTTAAAAAGTATTATCTAAGATGCCCCCTAGATTAGTGTATACTGGGGTGTAGTGTGTGCATATGTGTATTTGGGGTGAGGCAAGTGAATAGAGTTGTTCCTCTTTTTAGTGAAAGAAACAGACACTCCTATCACATGTAAAGGAGTCAAATTTTTAGGACCAGAGATTCAGGGAAGTGTGAATTGACTGAAGTGTTGTAAACACTTCTTCCTGAAGTGTTGTAAACATGTGCATAGAGCACACAGCCTACTTAGGGTGTGGTTGATTTTTAAAGAGTTTGAATAGAAGTATTGATATATAAAGTCAGCATTAGAATTCTTAAGTATTTATCAATTTTTTTTGCATTAATATCAATGTGTCCTGAGTTATTCATGTGAATAAAAAATTTTTATAATAGGCAATCAAGCACTCCCCTTGCAAGCAGATTTTTTTAAGAGCACCTCCAATGAGTGAATCAAAGGAAATCTCACTGGGTTTATCGATACCCATGACAGCTGATACCTACTCTTGCTAGAAAACAAGTGGGTAGGAACCCTCCCTGCTACTTCAGGGAAGATAATAGACATTAACTCCTGTTAGATAATGGGTATTAATTCCTATTAGCTAACTCATGCACAGCAATCTGGGTGAAGGTGATAATAGCAACAGCATCACAGATGAACACAAAGGCAAACTTTGGTTTTGAAAATAACTGCCACATATGTACCTATTTACCTATCTTTAAAACCGTCAGCACCAGCGATGGGTGAATAATGGCTTATTTATACTATAAACTATATCAAACTATTTCCTCTTTGGGGCCAGTGACTTCTCACTAGTTACTAATAAAATGCTTTCCAGGTTATTAAAAAATTGAACTTTCTCTACTTAGAAATTAGTCACATAAAAACTTCTGGAGAGAAGATAAAAATAAGATAATAAATAAGAACAGAAAGGAAAAAGTTATAAAATGTGGAGGCAATTCTTTAATAAAAGAAAATTCCCATAGACTTGCATACAAATTATTTAGGACTCAGTTTTCCCATTATATTTTTCTCCTTTGGGCAGAGCTGCCAGTGATTTTAAACACTACTATAATTAAAAACTCAATTGGCTAAAGTTAAAAATCACATTAATAAAATAAAACTCAATCTTAAAATATAAATGATCAAAAGGAAGAATAATGGAAAAGAGATACTGAATTGTAATCTTCAAGGATAATTAAGTTGGAATTATTTGGTCAACTATATTTACAAATATCTTAAAGTGAAAATTACCAATATAGTTTTCAAGAACTACATGATGGTTTAAATGTTTCAGAAATGCAATTTTAAATGTTATTTTAAACTATAAGATGCTCTATAGATTTAAAGAATCTTCCATTATTAAATAGATGAGCATATTTTTCTTTTTAAAAATAAAACTGAGTTTTAGAATCATAATAAAAATGTGTGTGTGTGTGTATGATCAAATCACTAACCTGCATGGTATATTGGCCTAAATAATTTTCCACTAAAAAATAAATGTATGACAAACAGTATTTTGTGCATGTGATATGAAAGATCAATTTAGAAAAGATTTAAAAAAAACCAGTATCATAATGTTTACCTCACAGTGTGTATATTAAAGTCTACAGTGTTTATAATAATAATAATTTTATTATTTAAGGTTATTTTTTAAAGTCCACAAAGTAGAGTTCATCTAGTCCTATGCCAAGTTCTATTCCGTAATTAATATCTGAAAGTGGTTCCCAGAAAGGGTAAAAATTCATATATATAATCACAAACTAATACTAGAAAACTTGACCTCTGTTGATTATTCTAAAGAATAAAGCTTTTTGTAGGGGAACGTGCACAACCAAAAACACCCTAAAGCAGGCCAGCTTTTACATGAGACACCTTGTGTTTTAAAGAGATGAGGTGGCTGGCTTGCGCTCACTGGCTTTGTTGAAGTGAAGCACGTAGGCATTTTGATTTGATGACTAGGATGACTATTATGAGGACATGATAGTTTTGCTACTTGAGCAAATGGTAACCTGAAATGTACACATACCTGGGAATTTTTGTCCTCCCTCAGTTAGTCACTGCCCCTTTATAACATCTGCTACAGGGTTAGACAATCTTATGTGGGATTTGTTTATCATTTGTGTTTTAAGAAACTGCTTTGAAAATTGTTAAATCTCTGATTTTGCAAGTCAAATAGTTAAAGGGCAAATTTAATCTGGGTCTTCATGTGAAGAAATACCTGTGTCCAGCAGGCCTTCCTTTCCCTGCATCGTTAGCTCTCAAATATGCTCCACAACCAGAGGCTCTCGAGAGCTGGCCCCTCACATGGGAAATTCACACATACATGCTTTCTTCACATTTTCAGGGAACCTCACCTGATTCTTCGGGGCTATAATGTGCCACACACAAGTGACTCCTGCAGGGTAATCCCGGTCTGGCCAGTTGGGGGTTTTAAAGGAGCCGGAAGGTCTGTCAAGACGTCCTCCACAATACTGATCCCCTGAAGATATTAAATATGGGGGAAAAAACCCCACAAGTTTATATCCTGATACAGATCACAGCAATACAACCATATGGAACATAAGGAATGTGGAACATTCAGTGACAGTACAGTAAACAATGGCAATGGCAGAAACTCTTAAATTTTCTCTTAAAAAATGGTTACATACATAATCTGCTCCACACACACACACACACAATGAATGATCTCTATGTTAGCTCATACCAACACAAGAGAGGGAAGAAGTGGAGTCAGAGGCAGGGCCTCTTTTATTTATTTTTTTCTTTTCTTCTTTTTTTTCCTTAACTTTTTCTTTATTTTTTTTAATTTAAAAAAATATAGGGGGTACAAGTGGTTCTTGTTACGTGGATGAACTGTATCATGCTGAAGTCAGGGCTTTCAGTGTATCCGTCACCAGGATAGTGCACATTGTACTCAGTAGGTAGATTTCATACCTCTTCCCCGTCTCACCCTTCCCTCTTCTTAGTTTCCAATGTCTATTACAGCTCTTTATGATGCTGTATATCCTTGTTTAGCCCCCACTTATAAGTGAGAACATGTAGTATCTGCTTTTCCATTCCTGAGATACTTCACTTTGGATAATGGTCTCAGTTCCATCCAAGTTGCTACAAAAGACATTATTTCATTCCTTTTTATGGCTGAGTAGTACCCCGTGGGGTGTGTGTTTGTGCACACACACACATTTACACACACACACATTTTCTTTATTCACTCATCAGTTGATAGGCACCTAGGTTGATTCCGTATCTTTGCAATTGTGAATTGTGCTGTGATAAACATTTGGGTGCAGGTGTCTTTTTGATAAAATGACTTTTTTGGAGGGAGGGTGGGTAGATACCCAGCAGTGGGATTGCTGGATCAAATGGTAGGTCTACTTTTAGTTCTTTGAGGAATCTCCAAACTGTTTTCCATAGCAGTTGTACAAGTTTATTTTATCTTTCCATTGACAGTATAAGTATAAGCATTCCCTTTCACTGCAACCGCACCAACATCTATTGGTTTTTTTTTGACTTTCAAAAATGGCCATTCTGAGAGGGGTAAGGTGGTATTTCATTGTGATTTTAATTTGCATTTCCCTGATAATTAGTAATATTGAACATTTTTTTCATGTTTGCTGTCCATTTGTCTATCTTCTTTTGAGAACAGGAACAGTCTGTTCATATCCTTTGCCCATTTTTTGATGGTGGTTATTTGTTTGTTTTTTTTTTTCTTGCTGATTTATTTGAGTTCTTTGTATAATAGATTCTGGATGTTAGCCCTTTGTTGGATACATAGTTTGTGAATGTTTTCTCCCATTCTATAGGTTGTCTATTCACTTTGTTGATTATTTCCTTTGCTGTATAGAAACTTTTTAGTTCAATTAAATCCCTTTTATTTATTTTTATTGTTGCTGTGTTTGCTTTTGGGGTCTTACTCATAAACTCTTTGCCTAGGCCGATGCCTAGAAGAGTTTTTCCCATGTTTTATTCTAGAATTTTTGTGGTTTCAGGTCTTATATTTAAGTCTTTTATCGAATTTGAGCTAATTTTTGTACATAGAGAGAGGGATCCAGTTTCATTCTTCTGTATGTGGCTATCCGATTTTCTCAGCATCATTTATTGAATAGGGCATCCTTTCCTTTCTACAGTGTTTTTGTCAGCTTTGTCAAAAATCAGTTGGTCATAGCTATATGGTTTTATTTCTGGATTCTCTATTTGTTCCATTGGTCTATGTGTCTACCTTTATACCAGTACCATGCTATTTTGGTTACGACTGTCTTGTAGTATAATTTGAAGTCAGGTAATATGATGCCTCTAAATTTGTTCTTTTTGCTTAGGATTGCTTTGGCATTTTGGATCTTTCTTGGTTCCATATGAAGTTTTAGAATTATTTTTTCTAGATTTGTGAGAAATGGCATTGGAATTTTGATGGGAATTACGTTAAATCTATGTTGTACTATAGCCCAAGCCAAGAGCAGATTAGGAAGTGCCCTCAGGTGAAAGAAAGGCTAAAAAGTTACAAATATTGCCCACTGCACTTATCTTTCAAGGGTAGAGATTTCTATCCATGGGGGCTCACATGTATTGAATATGAAAATACCCCAAGACATAGTGTTAAGTAAAAATAAAAATCTATAAAATAATGTATAATCCCACTTATATTTTTAAAAGCTATTGTGAAGGCACATAAATATAAGTAAGCACACCTAGAAAGGCAGGGGAACCACTAGCCATGGCTATTTCTGGAGAGGGGACTACAGTGGGCAGAAGGGGTATACTTGTATATCTGTATGTGTATTTATGTATATAAGCTCCACATTTTTAGTCCATAAATTTCCATATTTGAATTCCATATTTGAATGTATATTCAAAGAATATACATTCTTTGAATTATAAGAATGTATATGGACTTAAATAAAAAAGACTGATTTTTTAATGGTCTCTTGATGGTTTGATAGCATTCACTAGCTCTCCGAGAAGAACTGCTCTTAAGCTTTAGATTAAAGGAATAAATATATACAAAAACAGTGCCTGACACACAGTAGGCATTCAGTAACTGTGAGCTGTCATTATTGTTGTGATTGTCATTATATGGAAACAATACCTCTTTCATTGGGTTCAGCAGCGGAGAACATGGCCATGAAGCCATTCCCAGCTGTATTGGCATCAGAAATCATCTGCACCATCATCTTGTTGCCACTGGACACAAGGGCTCCAGGCCGGAACGTGCCGCAGAAGCGCCCAATGCGCTGGCCATTGGAGTGGCCGTTGTACACATCTACAAAGTCATAGCGACACAAGTTGTCACTCTCAAGGTCGATGAATCGGAAATTAAGAACGACTACTTTTCCTTCGGGAACCTGCCGAGAAAAGAATCAATTAGAAAGCTATGTCATGAAAACCATGTCTAAAGCCTTTATCTCTAGCCAATTACTAAAGTAAGCAGATAAAAGTATAATATCCAAGATGATGCTTTTTCATCTTTCAATTCTGAACTAAGCCAAGGAAAGTATAAGTATTTATTCTCTTTTTGACAAATTTCACAGTTCTCTAGGGTACACAATCTTATTCCTTAAGAATTTATCCCAATGAAGCTACAAAATATTAGATCAGACTTCTTAATTGGTAAGTCATTGTTTATAAAGAATACCAGTCCCAACTGGACCTTAGCACATCTTTGCATATTCTAAAACACTATGGCACCCAGAGATACTTCTTAGCAAAGAAATGTTCTAAAATGTCATTTTTTTATATAAATAATGCAATAGGACAACCTCAATAACTGTCTTTAGAATGTTTCTTTGAAGTTTAAAATGAAAGATTTATATGGCAATTGTGCAGTTAATTTAAAGATAATCCACGTTAGGTCCTGAAAAATCTGGATCAACTATCTATATTGATTAAATTAACTGAGTAATTGTTGAATCATCTATTCTTAAAGTCACTGAGTTTTTTGTTTATTTGTTTTCCAGGTAAAGACTATATACCAGGCAGCCTTGAAACACAATGCACTAATGAAAAATATAAGGTTTCACTTTCTCATAATATTTTCTTCACCATAATCTCCCAATATAATTCTTATGATGCTTCCTTTCTTGTTCCCTGAAAAACCAAAAATGTTTGATTTGCATTCATCTTAATTAACTATTTCAGACTCAAGGGTCAATAGATGCATTAACTTCAATATGGCTTCTTCATGTTGATAAGTTCAGTGCCATAAATTTTTTTCCTATGACAAGATGAAGTGTTTTGGGTGCTATTTGTTTTTGTGCAAACACATACACACACCCCATGGTAGAAACTATAATTGGGTATTCCCAAAAGGGAGGATATTTTTGGCTTTGCCATGGTTGCATTTTAACTAACAGAAGCTCATCTGACTGGTGTGAATATCAGAAGCTCCAAAGCCACAGTCTAAGAAGCTGATAGCAGAAACAGCAATTTAATTTTTAAACATATCCTTGAGATTTCTGTTAGAGAATTTCCCTGTTTTTTACTTCTTTTGTTTTTTGTTTGACATGCAACCTATATTTGTCCCATAGTCAGAAAGTTATTGAATTGTGATGTCAAATCTGGAATCTTAAATACATGCAAGCTCTTCATGAATCACTGAAAAATCCATAGCCATGAAACCAATTTCAAACTAGATTAATTTGTTCTGTCTTTGCATGAATAATGACTATTTGTATCATTTACACTCATTTATGTATAGAGTAATTCAAACCTATGAAACTTGGTGAAATTCCCTACAGAGTGAATATAGATAAAAAAGGGAAGAGGTCTTAGGATAGAGCCCTGGAACATTCCAATGTCATCAGGTCTGTGAGATGAGGTCAAACCACTGTAGAGAGCGAGTCGGTAAGTAGGAGGCAACCAAAAGTGTGTGGTGTTCAGAAGCCAAGTGAAGAGAGTGTGTCAAGCAGGAAGGAAGGGTCAACTGAGTTAAGTGCTGGGGCTGAGTTGAGGAAGATGAAGACTGAGAAAGGCCACTGCATTTAGCAACACAGAAGGTTAGCCACCAGAGGACACTGGCAACTCTGACAAAGCTGTTTTGGTGGTGCAGTAGAGACAAACCTGATAAGAGAAGGATCAGGGGGAAATGGGGTGAGAGGAATTAGTGATAATGAATATAGACAAGCCTTTCAAGGAGTTTTGCTGTGAAGATGAACAGAGTAATCTGGGTGTTGCTGGAAGGGGAGAAGACGTCAAGGAAGGGGATAAGGTGGGTTATACTAAGGCATGTTTGCATGCTGATGGAAATGACTACATAGAGAGGGAAAACCTGATGAAGTAAGAGAGAAGGAGAACTGCTGGAGAGATGTCCTTGAGCAGGCCAAGGGGGATCTGATCTAAGGCACACGTGGAGGAGTTGGCCTTAGTAGAAGCATGGATGGTTCTTCCCAGTGAGAGAGTGGAAGGCAGATGCAGTCAAGTTATTAGATGAGGTGGTCAGAGCATATGAAGTTTTTTTCTGATTGTTTTTCTTTTCTTGGTGAAGTAGGAAACAAGGTCATCAACAGCAAGTGTGGAAAGGAGAAGAGCTATTGGGAGTTCGAGAAAAGAGGAGGTATGTAAATGAATTAAGGAAAAGTAGCAGGACTATCAAGAGTGTTGAGGGCCTAGTTGAATGAAATGAATTAAAACTAAAACCTCTCTGCATGGAGGTGGTATTTGTTTTTGTTTGTGGTTTTTTTCCCAGCCACATTCAGCTCCTGGGGTGGAGGTGCAGGGCACGTGGACAGCTGGATTGAAGCAGGGGGGTGGGAGGTTGCCAAGTGAGGACTGTGGATAGAGAGAGGGGCAAGAGAGTTGAAGATGTAGGCAAGAGAGTGATCATAACGATCCACTGTGGAATCCAAACTGGGTAAGGATGGAAATCAGGACTCAGTGGGGTGAAGCAGTAACAACCTAGCCTGTGGTGGAGACCAGGGTAAAATAACAGTGCAAATAGAAAGCTAAGGAACAATGGAGAAGTTCATTGGAGGAGAGGAGGTTAAAGATCCAAGAGAATCATCCACATAGATATTGCAAGTGCAGTGAATTATGACAAGGAAGAATCTTGAAGAAAATAACAGTGAGCCAGGAACTAAAATTAGCAAGAAATTAGGAAGAAAGTCCCCAGGTCTTTGGATGACCACAACAAGAAGGGGTACAGGGTAGCACAGTCTTGTTTCATGGATAAGTTTTTGATTCTTTGACACTACTTATTTTGACACTACAAAATTTTGTTGACTCTGTCCTGCAGTCAGGTGTTGAAATGAACTACAGGCCTTGGATGCTCATTCCCAATGGAATAAATCATTTTTTCCCCAATGTTATTTGCCTGCTCCCACTGCAATGAAAAGTTGAAGTTTCTCTGACAATGAGACAAAAATATGTCCAGTAGTAGAAACTGGGTTACATTATTGCAATTTGGAACACATGTTGATCCCAACAACTCTGGCAAAAGTTCTTTGGAAAGAAGGATGCAGAGGTGACCAGTGTGAGTCTCCTGTAACCAGAGACAAATGTCATCTTGCACCAAAGGCCAAAGAAAAATTCTATTGCAAATGAGATGCATACTGCCGTGAGCCTTCTCAACACAACATCTGTTCTTCAGTTTTTATATGAGTGATCAAGATTGTCTGATGCGCTGTGATGCAAACTTTGATAAGAGCTCCTGGTTGTCATTCTAAAGGATTTTGGAAAACATATTCTCTGAAGATGACCCTTCTACTTGAACAATCTACAGTCTGTAACCTTGATTTTTCTTTGTTAAGGATATAAAAAATACAGAAAGATTCATAAAATAATATAACAAACACCTGGATACCAACCATCCAGAACTGACATTTGTTAATATTTTGTCAAACAATTTTTAAAGTCTCCTTTAATAAAATACATGAAACATTTCAGATAAAAATGAAGTTGCCTTTGTCCCCATCCCAGGCTCTTTTCTCCCTCCTTCCTCAGATGGAACCACCGTCACAAATCTAGTGGGTTTCCTTTCATGCCATTCAACATATGTATATGAATCCATGCAAAATACATAGTGGTGTTTGTGTCTGTTTTAAAATTACTGAAAATGGGTAATGCTATACATATCAGTCTACAACCTGAGAGTCCTTGGATTTTGTGGCTGAGGAAGAAGAGAAGAGGGAAAAGTAAAGATAAAAATACATAAGGCCTTCCTAAGCTATTCTTTCTGTCTGGGACACTTCCCAACTTCTGCCCTTCTGTCACTCCTCACTCATGCTTAGGGGCTCAGTTTCAAGGTCACTTCTTCCTGGAGGCGTTCCTAGACACCCCCCAACGCAGCAAGACGGATTCTGTCCATTTAACAGCCCACCCCTCAGGTGTGCGGGGGTGGGATGGCTCAGCCCACTTACTCCAGTATACAGATGGAGCTCTAAGAGGCAAGGATCCCTCCTGCCCTGTCCACTGTTGCATTCCCAGCCTCTGGCAGAGTGTGTGGCCCCAAGTAGAGGCTCAGCATCAAGACTGTTTGTTAAATGAATGAATCCATTAAGTACTCAATGAAACACCAGCTTCTTTGCACACATCATGGACAGGGAACCTACTGGTGGCTCTACCTCTTTCATTCTAATATTTCCTACCTCTCCTGGCAGCAGAACTCCAAAAGGCCACTCTCCTTTCTAAGTCATTCTTTTTTTTTTTTTTTTGAGACAGAGTCTTGCTCTGTTGCCCTGGCTAGAGTGCCATGGTGTTAGCCTAGCTCACAGCAACCTCAAACTGTTGGGCTCAAGTGTGATCCTTCTGCCTCAGCCTCCCAAGTAGCTGGGACTACAGGCATGTGCCACCATGCCTGGCTAATTTTTTCTATATATTTTTAATTGGCCAATTAATTTATTTCTATTTATAGTAGAGACAGTGTCTCGCTCTTGCTCAGGCTGGTTTCGAACTCCTGACCTTGAGCGATCCTCCCACCTCGGCCTCCCAGAGTGCTAGGATTGCAAGGCGTGAGCCACCAGGCCTGGCCCTAAGTCATTCTTTACAAACAGAAGAGACATATCTTTTTGGAAACTTTGTATATCAAATCTCCTGTAAACGCTAACAGGACACTCAGTTAATGCAGACACTCAGTTAAGACACTTTTTTGGTGGTAACGAGATAAAGCTACTGCTTTGTGAGATTTTATTGACCAGAGGATTCATTATCTGCCTATAGCAAAACAATTCAATGTTTGTGTTTTCTTCCTATCAACAGCCAAGTCCTGTACTGGCCAAAGCCTAGCGCTGCAAGAGTGACCTCAGCTCACCCCACAGCCCCTGGGATGTCCTTGCTGTCACAGGCAGATGTGCCAAGTCTTTCGATGGCTGGGGCTCCTGCCAGCACACAGAGGAGCTGCATTTTAAGCTGA